TCCTACAGTTTATCGCGTCGTAAACCTTAAGCTCCTCAAACCTTCTTTTAGTTTACTAGAATCCAAACCAAATGTATCCTTGAATTAGGATGAAAACAGTGGTCATAATTTACGATACAGCGAATCAGATTTTTCGCTGACCGTTGATGTCATCGCAGCGTTCATTTTCGAGGATCTTTGTGTAGTGGCAATATCGGGGTTTGACTAGTTATCTGCCTAGTTAACTAATTTTGTTACCAAAGAGAGTGTTTTATATTTGTAGATAATAGTAACCGCAGCCGCAGGTGAACAGGCAGATAAAATATGCAAATGGAAGAAGAAACAGTATGGTTTTGTATACTTGATTTGCTACAAACTGTACTAGATGGCTCAAATGGTTGGAGCGCAAATTTACTGACCAGGAGTTTCATGTTTCGAACCCGACCTCTGCCTGCCGACTCCCCCACTCTAGGTTTGGGCAACCTGTCAGTATCCCAACCCTGCTTGCTTCGGGTGGCAAGGCAGCTAGAAACTGGAAGGGTTCTACAGCTGAACGATATGTAAACTGCGTACACAAGAGTATTCAGGGTTTACATGCATCACGTTCTATTCAACCCTGTTTGAAATCATGAATTGGAACGCCAAGGTTAAATGGATTATAATTTTTGGTAAATTATGTCCCGTTTTCTTCTGAGGTTATGCCGCTTCAGAGCTGGTGATAGATGTCTCTGTGTAGTCGTCCTATCTCACAGTTCTTCTCAACAAATTCAGCTCTATAGACAAGAATCTGAGCGGTTGCTTGATAATGAAGCATCCTGATCAGATAGGCCTTGTTGAGGTGCTACGCACTGAAATGGGTTCCCATTGCTTTATCCTCAGCCGTAACCTTACTGTTTTCTGCACACAACAAACTAATGATAGAAGTAGAGTAAACACGGCCTGGGCTGCCAAGAAGTCACAAGGTCACTTTTTCGCGTGATTAGTGCACCACTAAATAGGGACTTAATGTCAATTAGCATGTGAATTTCAGTTTCCAGTGTACCTGATTTAAACGCAGTACGCCTGGTCACCTATTTGTTAAGTTTTGACTGGTTCTTGTGTTTCGGCTTAGGTGATTCAATGAAGTGGTCTCACGTCTCAATTCATATATTTTCTGGTTACTTAAGTGGATGTGCTCAATCCTTTACACAATGTTGTATGTGATGATGCGGCGCACGTCAAATTTACCCAACCACTGGTGTAACTTTTGATGCACTCAAGAACAAGAATTTCGCTTTGCCCCGAAATTGATGGGTTGTTTTAATCACCCTATGCATACGCTTATTTGCAGAAGTGCAGCAAATGAAACAAGGCAAGTGGTTGATGACCGTAAAAGGCTTAATCACTCGTGTTTTATTTGGATTTGAACAATCGAATGTAGTTTCCGTGTAAAATCTTTCTAACACACTGGCTATTAAACACCTTTACAGAATACCAACGTTTGTTGAAAATTCCATGAAGTAAGTGAACTACTGGACACATTTGTGTAGGGGGAATATGCTGGCCACCTAGAATAAAATACTTGTTATATGTGACCAGAAAGTGACTCCTGAAGCTTTGCTAGACTGCCGAATCTTTTTGGGCTTCAGCTTCAGAATTTTGGGGATCGGAATCCATTCTGCAGCTAATAGATGCATTCTGGATGAGCACGTCCTACCAGCAGAACACTTCCAGTGCCAGATTGTTGCTGAACCATTGGTGATTAAACTTCTAAGGTTTAAAGTTTAATTAAGAAGCTTTCAAGACATTGTAGGAAATCTGATCATTTGGTTATGGCTGAAATTAACGTAAAAGATGTGCAAATCAAAATTATGTCGGGGATTGTTTCATAACTTATATTCCTGAGGACACAAAAAAGCAGCCTTTGTGTTGCGAACACAGTTAATGAACATCAAAAACAAGAAAATTATTCAGACCGATATTACACTTTATATTCTTAATAAGTGATTTAGTTATTAGGTGCTAGTGACTGTTCGAACATTCTACGACAGTGGACAGTGAATGCAACCTTTGTCAACTGAACAAATGCTGAGAGGCAGCACTCCGATTACTCACCCATGTAAGTAGTGATATGACCACTTTTCGGGATGCTCTTGAATTGATGGAATATCTGGTTCTAGCCCAGACATATTTTCAAAAACTCAGCTAGTCTACTTATGCATACAACTGATGATGTGAGGATCGATCATTCTTCTCTAGACTCATGGTTTATTTTACGCAACGCTATGCGTCTACCATCGGATAAAACGAAACAATCTGTGACATCTTCGGTTCATACGTGCTCCGGACCGATTTCTCAGATATGGCCATTTACGTTAAGAAGTCTACGTGACGGACAGGTGGTAGGAACAACTCTCCATTAACGCTTGGCTTGTTCAGGCAAGCGCTGCTCCGACAGACGGACAGATCACTCCATGCGCATCCACATAGTTAAAGAGTCTAATCTAAGTGATCTCATCTGGTTAATCATTTGGCAAATGGAAAGCATAAACGCCATAGCTGTGCGTTTTGCTCAGTGAACAGAGCCCAGGTTTATTATCAATACCGACAGTATGTTTGCCTAGCTAATATTTTCTTCGGTTATGGATCAATTTGATATCTCCACAGGAATTCCACTTGCGTTTAATTCATTTTGACTTTCTTCGACGTCAATCTGACAGTTGTAGGTGATGCGTGGTAATTCTTAACAGAATTGTAAGCAGCTGCTGGCGCAGCAACAGCAGTTTTCGGGTGGCGAAGGTTTACGTGGATTACTGAAAATACCACGCATCGGAAACTTCTCTCCAATATTAACATGTTATGTGCAGTGTCAATCGAATATGCATAATTGGGGCCCTCAGAATAATGCTGAAGATTAATGCCTTTGATTTGTTTTTCATTTGCAGAGGCCTGAAAAATGACAGTTCCAATGAGTTGCCCCATTGACTAAAGAGTGCTTGCAATAACAATAATTGTTAAATACAGAATGTTGACATTCTATGCACATCGTGTTATTCGACGATTGAAAATATCGAAGTAGTGGGCAAATAAATCATTTGGCGATAATGCTCCGTAAATCTCATTCTGAAAGTACGATTGAATAAGCTGCAAGCTTGGTACAAGCAACTTCCGGAAAGTAGTCTGTATGTTCATCGCTGCAACGATGTCATCTCAACAGATTTACTGCTTGCTTCAGTCGTTTGCTTTAGGGCAAAAGCAATACGCCTATAATTGGGTCCAAACGATTAATGAACTTGACCATGGAACTGAAAAAACGCCAACACTTGTTTATATGTCCTTTCGAACATCAGTCGCAGAATACATAAATAGAAAAAAGCGAGACACGCAAACAGGGGCAAGTAATAATTCCAGCAACGCTCCTGACAACCTAGAACAGCTTGCACCCCATGGGTACATCTTGGTTGGATTGCATTTATTTCCTGATTATTTCCGAACGGTATGAAGGAATTATCTAATTGTATACACAAAATCTATATTTACCATGTTCAGTGTGCTAGGGAATTAAAAAATCCTGTGATATTTTCAAAGCAGTACTGGCGTATAACCAGGTGTAAATCGAACGATTTCCAGCCTGTAGCATCACGGTGATTGAGCTGCCTTTGCCAAATTTCCCACAACAAAGACGTATTTTCAACACTTTGTTAGGTATATCTACAGATGAAACAAGCATTTCAGCTTTCCAAAAGAGAAATTGATCATGAGGTTTCTGAAACAGAAACCCTGCAATTCGCACTGCAATCCAATCATTTCCTTTTGTGTTTGAACTCTCTTGCTTGTCGCTTTGCACGAGTATTCTGTATATCCACATTAACGTCAGAAAACTAAAAACTAGAATTTTTTCCCTTACCAAAATGCACCAACGGCGCAGCTAACTGGCCGTTCCATCATAAGAACCCTGGACACCCGACGGGCAATTCAACTGTTAGCGTTACTTCAAGTGTGTATGCTGTATGCACCTCACTTATTCCAACCCATAAACGTTAGCATGTTTTCTCGTCTTGGAGTGGTTTCAAATACATCCAGGTTGTTGTCAGAGTACTCGTAACACACTTCTGTCGCATGCCAGGTGCCGGAATCCAGACTCTCGTCGCGTTCCACTATAAGGACAGCTGCTAAGGTCAAATGGGAGCGAAACTCTACAGCGGTACTTTTCCACTTTGCTGTAGACTAGCCAGAATGATTAAAATGCGACAGAATATAATTGCTGCGAACAATACACTGTCGCTTGACTATTTTGGTTAGTAGGAATCAGAAACAGAGTTACTCCACTGTCTATGTTATCTACAAATGTTTCGGATAGTTTTTGGCTTTAAGGTGATTTTGCACAGGAATCCCAACCCTAAAGACTTTTAAGTGAAAGAATTACTCGATATGGTATGATCTCACTACGGTGCACACATTCGCATCGACTAGAAAGTGGTCCCATCGAACGTACCGAAAGTGCCACAAAATGTAGATATGGAAAAAGATAACTGTCATTAAATATGGAACAAAATACACACAGCACTGTGAACCTGATCAGGCTATTCAGATCGAAAACTATCAGGCACCTTTGACGAATGTGTCTATTTATATGCCAGAAATCACGTTCCAGTTCTACCATTGTAACGGTGGAAACTACTGATGATGCATGCGAGTAATGTTTTCCAGTAAATCTGCTTCGCGCCTCTTGAAAAGTGAGATCTTGCAGAATTTGTGGAGTCGCTTTGAAGCACGCGCGTGCATTTGAGTAAGCCACTGGATATCCAGGAAAGTTCAGGAAGACGCGTTTAAGGAGAAGATGAATATTCAGTTTTGTAAACAAGATGCATATAATAGTTTTGCTTCCCTCTCCAGTAGTCTGCAACTGTTCAGTTGGTCTTTCTCTAATAAACCACTTTGTAGCGAAGCCTTGTTCCTTTCACTTGGTGTCGTAGACAGGATAAGGATGAAAATTTCGTAGCCACAACCTTTTGTGGATGTGGATGTTCGGACCTTCCTAGAGGAGGCTGCTGGTCTGGATACAGATCCGGGTAAGTTGGCGGCGCTGAAGACCCTCCTCAAGGTACGGGCGAAGGCGGCCCTAGATGCAGCCAGAAGAGACCCTTGGAAGATTGACTGGGCCGTCGCAAAAGAAGCCTTCGCAGCGGAGTTCGGCACGCCGGCCGAACGACAGGAAGCAATGAGGTTGTTCACGTCGGCCAGGATGGCGCCTGGATGGGACGCTCCGGCCTGCAAAAGTCGTTGGATCGCGCTTTGCCGATAGTGAACGGAGTATCGCGCCAGCAGTTGCTGTCTGACTAGCTAATCAGAGGAGTGCAGCCGGCGCTTGAGACATAGTTGCGTTTGACGAGATCGACTAGCCAGTTGCGTGTAAAGAGCGAGAAATGCTGGAGGTACCAGTGGACATGTTGCAGATGCAGGAGAACAGGGATGGCTTAACGGTGGACGAACTGCAGGCCGGAGTGAACCAACTCGCAGAACCGTTTGCGGCCACAAAGACGGAATCGCGGAGGTTTGTTCGAACGAGCCGGTGCTACAAGTGTGGAAGGCTTGGCCAGTGGAACAATCAGTGCCTTCTTATCCGAACACCTGTACGTAATAAATATTTGGATTACTTCTCTTTCCTCGGGTGGGTTGAGAATAACTCACTGACACAGTGACCAGCCGCTATTGAGATAGACGGGAAGAGAGAGTTTTGCCTGATTGATGCAGAGCAGAGATATCGCTGAGGCCGAGAGGGAACCAAGCTGAACGCAGACCATTAGCACTAGCCGTGAGAGCTGCAGGTGGATACCAACTGAAGATTGGTGGATTGTCAATGTACTCAATACGCCCAGGTGACAAGTCCGTGCAGCACGCGTTCCTGATCAGCCGAGGTATAGAGTAGACAATACTGGGGGCAGATTTTCTCCAGAGCACAGAGTTCGTGGTTGTAACAATGCAGGGAACGCTAGTGACAAGGTATGGTGCAGTAAAACTTGAAGGTATATTAAGCACCGCCATGAGTGAGCTGCATGGCCAAAAGCTTCTGTCTTATAACGTGCCATTTGTACAGTCCGAACTGTTCATGGAAGATGAAGATCCGTTTGACTTCTGCCCGTGGATTGAACGCGAAATTCTTCTGTCGTCGGGACGCTTTCGGCCCTATGTCCCCAGTTCGCTGCTGCTCCATCTACAGGACAAGGTCCATAAACAAATTCAAGGGATGTTCGAAAATGGCATAATCGAACAAGCAAGTGGTGCTTGTAATATAAACGAGCGGAAAATACAGGTTTCAGGCAGATTTCCGGCGCATAAATGAAGCTGACGTAATTGCCCGGAACGCCACCGATTCAAATGTTGTGCTGCCCGTTATACCATACGTCGTGAGACGGAAGCTTGTCATCGAAAGCCAGGAGATGGCACACACAATTTACACCAACACGTACGACTTACTTCGGCAGAGGGTCTACTGGCCCGTGATGAGAAGTGAGGTAATGTATCATGTGGTGTCATGTAAGCAGATGCCGACTAATGAGGGTGGATGCGACACGGGCAACCCATCCCATGGAACATATTCCTGTCCCAAGAATCGGCTAGTTATGGTCCATTGATGTCATGAATCCGTCTTGGTGACAACCAGCGAAAAGACATACATCTTGATCATGACAGCACCAGTCGCGGTGAATCAAGGCGGCAGCCGTGCCTAATCAATCCGCGGAGTGGCAATGCATCACACCACGACCAACCACGGAGTGTCAAAAATGATCTTGACTGATCAAGGGCCCTGCTTCGGGGGCAAAGAGTTGAGGAATTGCTCGCAGAAGCCGGATATCAGACGACTTCCATACAGCCAACCGAAGACGATTCCCCGTTTATGCTGGTGTAAGGTCGCGCCTTCTAGTTGATCAGGAAATTGGGCTGTGGCCAGCAACATGCTTGTTTCCGGAGGAGCTGGATGAAGAAAAAAGGAGGACCCGAGAAAACTTGACCGTCGTTTAGGAAAGGATTAGGCAGGAAACGGCCGGTAGAAAGGCACAAATGTTCCTCATAGGTGCGCAGGTCCCCGGAATCCTGGAGGAAGTGGAGTAGGATCGCGGAAGCTAGGCAGTCGATGGCAAGATCCGTTTGTCGTTACCGACCACTTTGGAACGTCTACACAATTCAAGACGATCGAGGATCGAAATGAGTAAGTGGCTTGATACACCCGAAGAGCGGCCGAGTGGAACCGCTGCCGAAGCCGAACTGACGAAAGTAAATGATAATCGGTGGTATGCGAACGATTTCTAAAGTGGGGAGGTGCGTAACGTTGAAAAACACTGATGAGGCGCGCGAGTAGTGTTTTCCAGTAAATCTGCTTCGGGCCTCTTGAAAAGTGAGATCTATTGCAGAATTTGTGGGGTTGGTGTTCGATAAACAACCCCGCATTGAAAGCCCTCTTTCTTCCGCCAATACTGCCTTTCTCCAAATCCTCCGTCACCAACCTATTCATACGCAAGTTCACAGACTCTTAAGTAAGCAACTGTGAACGAAAACTGAGACTAAGGCTGAGAGCATGTGCCATTAGAATTTCGAATACATTTGGACTTATCAAATATAGCGACGAAACAAAGTCAATCGGGGTCATGGAATGTGTTTACGGTGTTGTCAGTTGTCCATCATCTCAATGAGAGCCAGCGTCACGCCGACGAAGAGAATGATTTAGGTATTGTGTTCATCATGCGAAGACAGTGGTATTCGGAATTTTTCTAACGCTACAACCATTTGCAAGTGGAGGGTGCAAGATATTCGTTGATCAGGAAATTAAGAAGAAATGGAAAGAGGGCGCCTTCGGTGGCTTTTAGTATGGAAGATTTTGGAGCCCCGCATATCGTTCCGTAACACCCATATTTTCGGTCCTTCCTCTCCACGACAATGCAAATTACTGTACGGTTGAAAACTGTCACTTCAACTGCAGGCTTTTTACCTAAGACATACTCCTTCTGCATGACGTTCATAATCCGCCATCTGCAATGAAGGAAGGGAAAACCAAGGTGAAATCAAATATATTGAAAGCCTGTGTGTCCCGATCTGAGCTTGCCCTGGTTGTGGCATACATGCGGAGCAATCTCCCTATGAATCGAAAAGTTCATTGATAAAATAGCAAAAATCGCTACCAGAGACTCACCAAATACAGGCGGCATGATGCTTCAGAGGCAACAGGTTTTGTTTCTGGGCTTTAGGCGGTAACAGCTCAATTCTGAGATCGGTTCATCGTACAAACACGCAACACTAACGGATATCTCTGATCTAATGCCTTTGCAAGCTGCTTAATTTGCGCACAGTCTAGCCAGTTCACGTCCCCAATAATCACGTATGCGCAAACCACGTCTCATCAGCCGCATACCCAGTAGTTGTGCCTGAATATTGATTACCGCTTTTAAAATCAGACAGTGTTGCCTCATTGAAGTAGTTAGGAATTGTGAAAACTGTTGACTGCCTGTAGTTTTGGGCAGCATGCTAACTCACATCAAAATGCGTTCTAACAGAATTTTTGGGCACTTTACCTGTTTGGAGCCCCCAAAGTAGATATTGTCGTCTTATTTCCTTGTCCGAATGGCAGCAATGGACCACCGTAAACCCTCGATGGACCGAAGACTATCCTAACTACAATGACAACTCCAAACCCTAAGACGTTGATGTACAGGGCTGTCTACGTACACAAACACATGATAACGGTAGGACAACTGCCACACAGTCTGATGGCTTGCCCGTATCTCTAATATCTCTATTATTTCCCGGACCAGCGTTGCGTGCATCCACAAGACCGTCTCAGTCCATTCAATTTGTGCATGGCTTTGAAAGCAGTGGCCATCTTATTGTGCCGCCTGCTTGTTCTATCTACAAACCCAATAGTTCACCCAACGGCGCTATTGGTGGCTTGGTGTATTTGTGAAGATTAAACCTTGCCTTGCGCCAGGTAAAACATGTGCTGATCATCATAAAAATACTAGTAGCAACAAATTCCTTGATTTCAAGGGGATGCTTGCGGCAACGAATTTTTCATATACAGGTCGTGAATGGTCGCTCCATTTTGAGTTTGACAGCACAGAAGTTGCATGAGTATTGTCTATGTCGTTTTGAGATTATTTTCAAATCCAGCAAGAAAGGAAACACGGAGATTCTTGCCGTTTTCACAGAAACAATGTGCGAAGCCACGGGCAGCCATTAAAAACTAGGAATTAGGCGCACACGATGGACATTGAGTTCTTATAAACAATTCTAACAAAAATGCCGCCGTACGTGAAGATTTTAGGGTCAGAATATATATCATCAAGCACTGGAACGCTATTTTCCCACCTTCAGACTACTACTTCAGGGAAAATTTGGGTGTACCCATGAGGCCTGGCTGTTATTGCCACTATCTATGAGAGGAAATATTTTCAGCGGGTATTTGCTTAATAAGTTTTTGTCAGACCTGTGTCAAGTAGGTAAAAGCAGTCGGATTAGTTTTTATTTACATGTTGATAATTCAAGGCCGTCCTTCAATCAACATGATTGACGCTCTATTCATTGTTGTGTTTATTGTTCTCTTGTTGTAACATTCCAAGTGCTGTAAACATAGGCCAATTTGAATACATACGTAGTGTTTGTTACGCTGAACCATGGAGTTCGAGTTCATCTGCTTATACCGATATACATGTTGAACCTGATTATTACATCTTGGCGTCGCGGTTAGAACGCGTAAACATGCTTACCGAAATGGTGCCATTGAGTGTTATTTCAGCTGGGCGAGATGTAGAGGATTAGTTGGAACGGTTTGATGCATGGTGTCTTAAATATTTGCTATGGCTGATAAGAAACTCATGGCATATTCTCTACATTTCGTTGACAAGGATGCGTATAAATTGATCAAGAATTTAGCACATCCCTATTCTTCGATCGATACTTCCTACAACGCATTGAAGAAAAACGTTCCGCGACAATTCGAACCCATTAAATCTGTGGCAGCCAAAAAAGCTAGGTTGAATAAGTTGACCCGCTCCCATTTTCATTGCTGGTTTTCAAATGCCTGAATTACAACAGAAGCTGCCGCTCCATCGAGATCAAAAATTTCAAACTATTCGACAAAAATGTCACCACTATCAAAATGTGAAGCATGTAACCAAGATTGATGAAGCAGTGCTGTTAACTTATTCTAATTGAAATAGTTCTAGGATGCAGATAACCAACAAATTCTAACCCCGAACAACTTTTCATGCCCCAAATTCATCAAAACGTCGCTTCATAGACCGGAATTATATT